TTGGGCTGTTCCTAGCCCTCCTCTCGTAGATATTCATAAGACCCATACTCGTCGCTCATCACGTCTGTAAACCTCCAAAATTTGAGCACGAATGATGGCCAAACTGAGTTGCGTTATTCCTGCTCTTCTTGGACAACGGCCGGGGTATTTTTGAAAAACGCCGAATAACCTTGAAGTTTAGTTATTAGGGTTAGGAAACTGAGTCAATCAGCTTTCATTTAAGTCCTCTCCCAGAGCTCTTGCACATTTAACAGAAGTTGTGAGGGCAGCTTATGTTTTCCTTACACCACTCTATGTACCGGTCGCGGTCATGATCTACCAGTATTCTGGAGAGCCTTTCAAAAGTTTAGTTGAGCCATACTAAGCATGAAAGTTGACCAAGTCCCTGACAAGTGTAATACAAGAGAGGAGTGTTTGTGAAGCTTGTGCGTGTTTGTTATTGCCTGAAGAGATGCATGTTTTCGTGGATATGTTACAAGCAAAAGCGTGAATAATTTACATGAATACACATTTCAGTTCTTTTGTTATGTATATTTGAACTTGAGCACGCAAAAAGATATCAATTTTTTGACCAGGGAATCTCAACAAATCGTCGTGGTCTAGTGGTATGGCAGAGAGACAGGTACGTCGGAGCTACAGGGAAGCGTTGGTTCAAATCTCGCCGACTACCGAGAAAAAAAGGGAAAAAGGAAACCGGGGGGCACTGGAGAGAGTGGTAGGTGAATGAGAGGGGAAAAAAGAGAAAGAGAGGGGTGGAAAAAGATAAAAGAAGACGAAAATTGAAATCCTTTTTTACTAATGCAGTAAGTATTCATTACCGATGTATATATGCAATACTCTGGGGAATTCACCATTGTCTTAGAAGACAATAAGGCGGATGCATTATTAATGACACAGAATGCATAATTAATGTATGGGGTTATACGGAAATTTTTCCCTAATTCTATGTAACTTTTTTATTTGTTATAATTTCGCTATTTCAATCGCAATTAGAAGGAACTAGGCCAGTTTGTTCTGTTATTCATCGAATTTCTCGTTTTGTTTGCGCTGTTGTTATTCGCTTTATTTTTGTAATCGGAGTCGCATATTCTTCGTAGCGTCGCTAAATATTCTCTTCGTTTCGTTTGCGTATTATTACACACCTTCTGTAGTAAATTCATTTTGTTTATTGCAAATCTCTCTTTCTGTTTACAACTGTTAGTTGGCCAGTTTTGTTCTTCTATCATATATCCTAGTCTTTTGAATTAGTTTGTCTTTTGTTTTCTTTAAACAATGAATGTATGCATAATTAATGTATGGGGTTATACGGAAATCTTGCCATTAGTTCTTTTCCGGTCCACTTAATTACTTTTGTTTCGTTCTAACCTTGTATCTTGAATGTAGAATCCCGTTGTTTATCATGTTATAGCCGTTGGATACCATTTCACTGTAGAATTTGCCATTACATTCACTAGTTATTTTAACGCTCACGCGTGTCGCTTGTGCAACTCGCGTCAAGTATTCTGTCACGGGTTCTCAAATTTAATTTGCATGACACTTGCGTCACTTCCGTTCTATTTTTGTCTTCAAAATAGAGCTTTTCTGTTTTGTATTTTTATCTTTTTCTGGTGTTAGTTTAAACATATTTGGTAGTTGTTTACACTTTCAACTACAGATCATTGTGTTCTATTTGCAACAGAATATCTTTGTTTTCTTTTTATGAATTTTACAATAACTTAGTTTACAGTTTAGAATATGTTTTTTTGGTTTTCGATATTCTTCTGTAGTTCTTAGTCTATTGCATTGTATTTTGCATTATTTTGTTGCACGCAAACGTTTAGTTTAATTTGTATTCTTTTCCTAGGTTTAATCTTTCAGTAGTTCCCGTTTATTTTATTTTGTTTCATTTTATTGTTGCTGTACTGCTGATGGATTTGAGTTTCAAATAAATTGCTTTGGAAAATCCTTGAATCCTTCTCGTTCCTGCCGCTGACCGCCCCGTCCTGTTACATTTTAGGGACTTCAAATCATTTGCTTTACCTTATGTAAAGTTATCAGTCAGCCTGCCGCAGGGAGTTGAACCTGTAACAGTCATGTTATCGAAAACAACCGAATATTAAATAAGGCAAGACAGTTGTCTTTGACAAAGGAATGCAATGCAAGTACTATTGACATTAAAAAAAGGAATATATATTAATATACAGGGCTGGACACTGTACTTAAACTGGACTGACAAAAAAGCACAGATGAACTGTATACACAGTTCAATGTTTGGGACTGCAGTACACCGTCTTAGTTTATTTCCAACTTGTAACACGCTAAAAACATGGTTCGAGTTGTAATGATCTGAAGGGAAACAAAAATTACTTCCACTTAGTGGGAAGTTTGAGTTATCGAGGGTTTGAGTTACCAAGGGAGAAATTGCAGTAAATGTATGAAGGAAATCTAGGGGAAATCGATAGTTAGCACAAGGTTCGAGTCAATGGGAGTCCACGGTACTAGCTTGTTGGCTCGATCTATGGTAAGAAATTGACTGGCTTCAGTCACCCCAAAAGGCCACAAAGATATACATCCATAAAACGTATTTGTTAGCCCTTTCTGGCCTTTTTACCAACTGAAATGACAGATTTCCTACCCTTTCATATATTACAAATAGTGAAATCACTACCCTTTCATATACCTGAAGCCTGAAAAAAGGTACCCATTTCAGGTGGAACCTCCATGTACAGGCCCAAGGGTTCCATATGCATATTCCCTGACTGCCTTATTATAGAACACAAAACACAACTGTGGGATTGACTGACAAGAAGGAACAAGTCAGGCCTCTCTAAAACAGCCTACACTGGCTGCCAGTTCATGTCAACAATGAATAATCTTAAAGCTACTATTATTGACATACACACTGACAGCACGTGACAGTCATTAGCTGGTATTAAAAAGATCTCATAAATAATTCCATCAATATCTATGTACCCGAACAAGCTATGGTCATTTTTTCATTTTTTGACACAGTGTAGGTTACCATGGCTCTCGAACTTGTTAAAAAAATCTGTTGCTTTGTTCCAATCTTACGTAAGTG